TTTGTTATTTACAATAAAGTCATGGAATTGGTAGATCCCAGCTACAAATGTTGATCACTGCCCTTCTACTGTTGGTCGCTATGTTGAAATTTAGTATGTTTTTCATATTGAATACAAATACTGTAAGCTAATTATTTTTGAAATAATAAAAAACAAAAAATTAAAGGTTAACCCTCTCGAGAAGTTAAAAACCTGATCACATATCAGCGTAATAAATGTTTCATGATCAATACAGTATAGCAATGAAAACAACAAGTCACTGCAGTACAATAGTATTATCACTAGTGGCATTTTCGATCCCAGGACCCGAGGGGGGGAATCTCATGTCGCCCTTATTACCCTTGAATGTCTGTCTAGTTGTTTCAAATTTTCTCACAGTTCATTAGCTACAATCGTGTTGTAAACCATGATGGTGTCATTACACCAGAAGTGTCATAATATAGACTAGATATAACCTTTATTATGACACTCCTGATTAAACCACCTCACTATTAATCCGTGCTGTCTACATTTACTGTTAGATGGAGCACAAGTAGCCATGCACACATTGCGTCGATATCCTTCGTCACCTGTGTCGCATATGGGGCCGTGAGTGCATGCAGGTATCGGAGAAGAACTGTATAGGAATAACATGAAGAATAATGAATGACAAATAATTTAATAATGTCAATACTGAAATTACCTAGCAGCTATTCAGTTAAGCTAAAGTTAACTATTGTTAAAACGACACTTGTCATTAGTGTTAATTATTCATGGCACTTGCATGCTTTAAGTATACTACGGATACATTTTCATTATACTATTTTGCACGTTACAGATCGAGGGCTAATCACAAAAGTGCAAGTATATTTATACCCAACTGCTATTTAACACAACTATTTTTTATTTCAGGACAAATTCATTCAAATAACTGAATCTATTCAATGATATCAATCTGATGGCATATGTTGATTTGTGTCATTTCTGTAATAGAAATGATTGGCGAATAAGTAGTTCTACGTGGAAAATGTGGTCTAACGTGTACACTCTTTAGTAAGCTTTGACCTACTTCCCGAGTTAGGGTCAACACCCTACATATTGCAAAAAATGACAAACATTTATAGAGCACGAACTAAGACGTTTTAGCACATTGCGTCGTAAACACATGAACTACCGAGCTTAGTAGCGCATGTTATTAGTAAGCCTGCTTTTTAACATTATTAAGGATACTCTCAACTTTTTGCACGGGTCTTGCTCTAATAAGATTAAACGTTTACTGACGAATGAATCAAATCAATCACTTGTTTTATTTATAGAGGAGATATATCTCTATGTTCAAGGCAAAAAATTTCATGAAATTTCCAACACCTAATTATGTTACCACAAAAATTTTGAATTTTCATGTAAAAATGGTATTTTGGATATTTCTCAATTACCAGAAAGAGTGAGGATAACACAATTTCGCCACATGTTAAGCATAATATGTACCAAAGTAGTGCATCAGGATTTTTCTTTAAGTTTCATATTTACCGAGAAAAATTTAAAAAACTGCCTAAAACTCAAGTCGCACGTTTAAATTAAAAAATTTTGCGAATAAAGAGAGATAACTCATAAAATACGACACTTAATAACAATCCCTGACGCACTTTTTTCCAGCAATATGTTATCATTAAAACCAGTGTAAAATTTAATTATTCCGAGTTGTAATCACAGAGAAATATCCATTTATACATCGACTACTAAGTCAGAAATTGGAACGGAGAAATCAGCGTTTTTCTGACGTCAGCTGCGGTTCACTACTCACTCATGTACGCGGGCAAGCAAAACGCTCTGACAGTTTACATGTACCGTTATATGGAGAAATGAGCATGTACACAGGTGGCACATAGTGTTAGACATCGAATAAAGTTGAAAATAAAAAATCGGTAAAAAATTTCCTAAAACCTTGAGAGTATCATATTGCCATTGTATCATCATTTTCGGAATGATGCATTGGCTTATACGTCGTTAGTTCTGTCTTACGTTCAATTACTACACACGTATGCCGAATAACTGGGTGTTTATCAATAATATCTTTAAGTTTATTCATAAATCTTGATTTTTCACGATTCATCTCATTCGCAAGTGACATGTCATACAGAATACTGAGACCTGCCAGTATAACTGTAGCGCACAACTCATTCGTAAATTTAGTTTCGTATAATGGTATCTCATATATCTGCATTGGCGGTTGCTTGCTTTCACTCTTATATCGACTATGGTTCCCAGTAGGCATTATAGTATCATCTGCAAACGTTTTCTCCTAATTTTTACTGATATACATCGTCAACTTGATGATTTGCCTTTTACGCGATTTGCCTACAACTTCGACCAAAACATCCATCATTAGATAAGCCAAGGTGTACGCTTTGCAGATAACTTTTTAGTCAAAACAACGTCTCCATGGCCCTTTTTCGCTCGCAGCACGTCAAACTTTGTTATGTGAAGAGTTATTTTATTAACAGTCTTCAATGACCAGTTTGATGCCGGGTGGCGCCACTACTAGCCCATCTACTATGAGGATATTTACGTGCTATATAGTGTACGAAAAAAACGCGATGTGTGTTATCACAGTGCGTTTTAATATCTTCCTGTACAGTGGTACATGTCACATCACATTTCTTTGTGAATATGTCCACGCCCTAGCATGTGAGGTACCGGCGGCAGATACATTCTGAACACAAATAGATTCAGTTATTTGGATGAATTTGTCCTGAAATAAAAAATAGTTGTGTTAAATAGCAGTTGGGTATAAATATACTTGCACTTTTGTGATTAGCCCTCGATCTGTAACGTGCAAAATAGTGATAAAAATGTATCCGTAGTATACTTAAAGCATGCAAGTGCCATGAATAATTAACACTAATGACAAGTGTTGTTTTAACAATAGTTAACTTTAGGTTAACTAAATAGCTGCTAGGTAATTTCAGTATTGGCATTATTAAATTATTTGTCATTCATTATTCTTCATGTTATTCCTATACAGTTCTTCTCCGATACCTGCATGCACTCACGGCCCCATATGCGACACAGGTGACGAAGGATATTGACGCAACGTGTGCATGGCTACTTGTGCTCCATCTAACAGCAAATGTAGACAGCACGGATTAATAGTGAGGTGGTTTAATCAGGATTGTCATAATAAAGGTTATATCTAGTCTATATTATGACACTTCTGGTGTAATGACACCATCATGGTTTACAACACCATTGTAGCTAATGAACTGTGAGAAAATTTGAAACAACTAGACAGATCGACATTCAAGGGTAATAAGGGCGACATGAGATTCCCCCCCCCCCGGGTCCTGGGATCGAAAATGCCACTAGTGATAATACTATTGTACTGCAGTGACTTGTTGTTTTCATTGCTATACTCTATTGATCATGAAACATTTATTACGCTGATATGTGATCAGGTTTTTAACCTCCCGAGAGGGTTAACCTTTAATTTTTTGTTTTTTATTATTTCAAAAATAATTAGCTTACAGTATTTGCATTCAATATGAAAAACATACTAAATTTCAACATAGCGGCCAACAGTAGAAGGGCAGTGATCAACATTTGTAGCTGTGATCTACCAATTTCATGACTTTATTGTAAATAACAAAATTGTCCTTGTGGTGGTAAACGATGTCAAGAGGATTAATTGCATGATTTCTCAAATCTCAAATGAATAGCTTTCTTTTATTCACTCTTAAGAAGTGAACAAAGAATGCTAGGGTTTAACTGGGTTCCAGGCAAAATACAATATTTTAAAAGCCAAAATTTCCGAATGAAAACTCTGTTCAACTGAAATGCAGTGTTTAGACTACAATGATTTGTTTTTATGCATTCTGCCTCATGTTTTATCAGGATTAATGATTTAAATTTGCTAGAAAAAAATAGCAATGATAACTATTAGTAAGTGTTTGTGACCAGGAGAGATGCTTTCCTTACAATAACGACAGGCTTTGATTGAAATATATACTCTATGTCAAGAAGAGCAATATGGAAATCAAGTTCTTCGATAATTTTCCTATGGTTTTAATTTTTATTGCGTTGTTATTAATGCATGTTTATTTCTGTGATTAAGATAGAGTATAGTAATTTATACATGTAGAATATAATACATAAATTAAGTGCCCTGGCTTTATTATATTAAAAATGCAGTTTAAATAAATCTATAACAGTTTGGGAAAAATTATTGGTGTAAAGATATATACATATATGGATTATCGCGCATCCTGTTTTTTCATTCCTTATCAGATAAGGACATGAACTGATAACAGAGTATCGAGGTCATGCACTTTTACCAGATTAACGAGGACAGGCTGAGCCCCCCTCAAATATAGTACCAAGCCAGGGGAGGACAGGGTTCACTGAGGGTTCTGTGACGTCACTGAGTGAGGAGGGTAAGATCAGGCTAGTAACAAAAATTGGGGTTCAAAATGAACCACGACGGGGCGCCACGTCACTTCCCGTAAATGTCGTCACTTCCTCCACCAGGGGGCATCACGACACTTTCACCATCAGGAGGCGCCACGACACTTCTGCTACCAGGGGGCGCCATGACACTTCCGCTACCAGGGGGCGCCGTGACACTTCCACTACCAGGGGCGCCACGTCACGTCTGGGCCATGACGTCACTTTTACCGCCAGGGGGCGCCACGACACTTTTGCCACCAGGGGGCACCACGACACTTCTACCACCATGGGGCGGCACAAGAGGACGCCACATCACTTCCGGTCTATGACGTCATTTCAGCCACCAGGGGCGCCACATCACTTCCGGCATATGCCACCACTTCCACCGCCAGGGCCACCACGTCACGTCCGGTCTATGACGTCACGTCACGTAGGCGTGGTTACGTGACGTCTCTCGACCAATCAGAGGCCGCCCTCTGTGCCAAGCAACACGGATTGCCACTACATGTGTGTGTATATTATTGTAGTATAGTAGTGTGTATTATGTAATTAGTAATGTTGCTGGCTATTTGACATACCTCTGCTTTGTCGAGGGTCAACGTTTGATCGGACTGAAACGTGACGTTATTCTTGTACCAGATGTAATTTGGCAGAGGATTCGCATCTCCATTGCAAGTGTACTCGAATGGCTTCCCTCTATTCGCCTTCGCCGTGTTCGGAAGTGGCTGGATGATAGGCGGGTCTGGAGTAATGGTGGCTGTGTAAACGTCTACATGGTTACACTGTAAGAACTTGCGGATCCAGGGGTTCAGTAGGACCATGTCCCCCCCCCCGTCCAAGACGCAAAACCATCAAATGTGTCAAAAACGCAAAGCAGTCATAATATATGAGCATTTTAAACCTTTATTTTACTTATTGCTCCCCAAACTCAGTGCTCACTGGAGGCCATACCGAATACCGGAATTACCGTATATGAAGCACTAAAACACGCGGCTGGGCCCCGCTGTGTGATCCTACAGAGCTCCTCCTTACCCACCCACCCCACAACTAGCTGGCCGTCATCCACCACCTGGTGGACCATTACTATGGTGTGTATTCTGTTTCATAATTCGATTCAAATTCATTCGATGCGTGAATCGAATGATTCGATGCATCATTCGATTCGTGAATCGAATCATTCGATGCGTGAATCGAATGATTCGATGCATCATTCGATTCACGCATCGAATCATTCGATGCGCGAATCGAATGATTCGATGCATCATTCGATTCACGGATCCAATCATTTGAGTCTCTCATTCGAAGATGCGTGAATGCGAAATGATGCATCGAATCATCTCGATTCCGCAGCCAATCGAAATCAATCGAT